CAGAGCCCTTTGAGAGCTCCAGGAGTGTGGGGCAGGCACCCTGGGAGCCATGGAGAGCAGGAGTCCAGGCCATGACTATCACCCAAGCTTCTTCTTGCTTGGAAATTCTTCCCACACTGTTGGTTTTGACCACAATGCAGTTGTAACTTGTCTTTATTGATAATCTCATATTATTATCCCAAAGGACATAGGACCCAAAAGAATACTGATATAGTATACAACTAGGCAGTAGGGAACACAATAATTATGTTCCTTTTCTGGGTAAATTTTTATTTTTATTGGTGTGTGTTTGCAGTTCGTAATGATTACATTCTTCTTGGGGAGTTGGTGCATGTATATAACTCATCTTAATTTTCAAATATTCCCTTCTCCTCCCCTTCCTCCCCAAGAATTTTTATGAACGGGGCTCAGTACTTTTTCTCCATGTCTGAAAGTTATGATTGATCAACTTCTTCTATCAAAAATTAAGTGGCTCTACTTTAGAGTTCAATGTTTTTGGCACTGGGGATCAAACTTGGGTCCTTGCACTTGCAAGGCAGGCAGCGGCACCACTGAGCTAAATCCCTGGCCCCTTAGAGTTCAATGTTAAAGAGAAAATAGCACACATAGAGTGATTAGCTAAATATTATGCAGTAAGACTATACTTTGAGTTTACTCAAGTGGTAAAGGTCAAATAAAAGATGAAATTGATAAGCTAGTTGGTTTTTGTGTGCAAAATGTGAGAATCCTATATTCCTTGTATCCTTGAGGCAGAGGATTCATCAAGAAGATTCCGAAGCACCTGAAGTAAAATAGCTAATGAATTAGATGAAATTATAGAAAATCAGTCCTTTAAACTTAACTTTCAGTATCTGAGTTTTCTTGCATGACACATGGGGAAATATTTAATAATATATGGATATCAACATAATATTTTGCTGAATACATGATATGTATTTTTTCCAGAACTAAAAAAAAGGCTTTATTTATTGAGGGCAAGAGGATGCAAACAATTTAAAAGTCAAAAGCTTACCTAGCATTTAACTAACTTTCCTTTCTCTGCTTGTCCAATGAGAGTTGGATGTTACTTGTACATTTTCTAAGAGTCCTGATCTGCTCATGAAATCTTTATACAAGGGAAAACTGAGGGGCAGATTCCTTAAGTGGCCCTTGGGAGAACTCTCTCATCAGGGCAAGAGTGAAGGTTCAATTCTGTCTACTTCTTTCCCTTCTGCTTCATGTGTACTGCGAAATAATCATTGCACGCATTGGTGAGGCCTGCAATTAGTGACAAGAAGCTCTGGAAGCCCACTTTGCCATCTTGGCACTCACTGGTCCAGGTCCTTCATGATTTTGTCCATAGCCAGGGATCTTTCTGATTTTCCAAAAACCCAGGGAACTCCTTTTCCATGAGTACTCCCAGGTCCTCCTTTGTTAAGTAGCCTTTGTCCCTGGCAAATTTGTGACACATAAACATCATGGTTTCCATGGTGTGTTCCATTTGGGGTGGCATTTTTGGTGAAGTCTGTTGAAAGCAGGGTGCACAGGCTTGGGACAGCGGGTAGGTGGGCGGCCTACACGATATGTATTACCATGTTGGATTTATCATTCATTTAGTAGACAAAAATAACTAAGATTTTATAATATGTTGTATGTGACAAGCACCAGCTTAAGCATTTCTGCACATTATGAATTCATTTCATGCGGAACAACCCTACCCTATTAGACACAGATACTAGCATTATCACATTTACAGAGGAGGAAACTGAGGCACAGAAAGTTTAAGCAATCAGTCCAGGGTCACACAGTAATTAGTGGAGCTGGGATTCTAATTCAGACCATCGTCTCCATTGTTCATGTTCTTATTAAGTATTTACAGCTTGGCAGTGACTGTTCTAGGAGCTGGGGCTGTAGGGTGAACCAAAGAAACAATTTTTGCTCTATGAAACTTACATTCCAATTGGTAGAGATAGATGATTAAAAATAAATAATTAGATATAATATGTTAGGTGACAAAAAGTACTAGGAAGGAAATTAGAGCAGGGTAAGTGGTGGGGATTCCTCTTAGGATCAAATAAATGGAGAGGATGGGGCCTGTTTCGGTAGGGTAAGAAGTGACAGGCTTGTGAGAGACCCCCACAAAGCATGTGTGCGCTCCACGGGGCTGAGGGAAGAGTAAATGCATAGCGTCTGAGCAGGAACTGTTGTTATGCTAGACCACTAAGGATTTTTTTTCTTTTTTGGATTAATGTGAGAGAGAGCACAGTTGAAAGTAACACCAAAAGATAGCTGGGGGGTAAAGTCACGTTGGATGTCTAGGGAGCAGTATATGGACTTGGGATTTGATTCTGAGTGAGGTGAGAAGCCAGCAGCAGCAGGGCGTGAATTTAGAAGTGACACGACCTGTCTTTTGTTTTAAAACAAACAACAAAGGATCACTGTAGGGAGATGTGTGGAAACCCTGTTAGCGAGCTAGTGAAAGGATTTAGGTGACAGATGATGCGGGTTTAGCCTAGGGCAGAAATGATGTGGAGGTAAAATTTGCTGACTTGGGAGGTATTCTGAAGATGAAAGTGGAGGACTTTATTCATGGATCTGATGTGAGTTATGACAGAGGTCAAGAAGGATGCCAAGGCGCTCTCAGTCTGACCAATGGAAGAAATGACTTGCTTCTTAGAAGGAGAAGCAGGAAAATATATAATGTCCCACAGGCCAAGTCAAATAACTGTTTCAAGAAGGATGTGGGTCAAAATCATATTCATCTGAGCAAGATACCCTCTTTGCACAGACTAACTAGGCGGCATCTCTCTAGCAAACTAGACTGATGGTCCCTGAAGTTGGATTGGTTTGTGCTGGTTGGTTATGCTTGTCTTCACGTGCTTTAGGAAAGAAATTGGCCCTAGCATCGCTAGTAGAATGGAACCAACTTGGCAGCTCCCTGCCTACGTTTGGGGAAGCTGAGTGGGGAATCTTCTTCCTACTCAGGCAACAGAAGCAGGAGCTGTTGGAAATTACACTTTGATCCTACTGCATCAGATTCAGGAAGGCATGAGCCCTAGTGGCTCTTAGGCTGGGAGGGCTGGAGCACTCCAGGCAGAATAAGGGGCCGCTGTGGGCACCCCAGAAGTCTGGGTGGCCTACCCAAGTTGTTAGCTCTGGATTGTTTGGGGCAATTACTTGAAATTTCAGTCAAACTAATGTTTGGGTTTTTTTGGTACTGGGGATCGAACTCAGGACCTTGCACTTGCGAGGCAGGCGGCGGAACCACTGAGCTAAATCCCCAGCCCAGCCAAACTAACTTCTTAATTCTCCCTTAAAATTTATTTTCTATGTAGTGTGAAGATGGGGGAGGAAGAATCTGGACTGTGGGGAGGACGTTGTGAACATTTAGAGGGGAGCACCCACCAGGACTGAGGTACCCAGCCTGACAAAACGCCATCTCCGTCACCTTGGAAGCAAGGCCTCTAGCTCAGAAGGAAGGGGGCCCTACTGTTATGGCCGTGTTCGCCGGGAAACACACACACTGCAAGTTCTGTTATTCCCGGAGCACGGATGGATGGATAAACTCACGAAACTGAGCTCCAAGTGGCCAATGAGGAAGTAGGAACATAGGTTCACTTCTTACTTCATGTTAATAAACTACCACTCCCACCACCTTTACCTTTTTCCAAGTAAAAAACATTAAAATTACTTTCAAAAATTTAAATGTTAATGAACAAGAGGAAAAAATCCCACAATAAACAATAATCCTTTGGGTTGAATATTTTATGAAAAATTCACAAGCTGGGTGTGGCGGTGCAAGCTTGTAATCCCAGCACTATGGGAGGCTGAGGCAGGAGGATGGCAAGTTTGGGTCCAATCTGCCCATCTGAGCCACGTTGTGAGATCCTGGCTCAAAATAAAAGATAAAAAGGGCAGGAGCTACTGCTCAGTACTGAAGGGCCTGGGTTCAATCCCTAGTACTGCAAAACAAAACAAACAAAACCAAAGTCACTAAATTGTTCTTAGGCTTCTGTTTTCCACAAGAATTACTGCTGGACAGAACTCCAGGCCAGTTGTCCGGAGTCATCAGAGGGGAAATTGTGGGAGGAGGATGGGAAGGCTGAGCAGGTTGCAGGCAGTAAACGAAGTTAGCACGTGAGGGGGCAGCAGACACCTTTAGGAGGTCTGGAGGCTTTGTCTTTCCTCCTGTGTGGTAAAAAGGAGCCAAAGCATGGAGCTGGGCCTAAACCTACTGTATTTGCTCTGGTTCAAGAGCAGAGCGCCAGGCTATGGCGGCGTTTGCTCTTCTCCAGGTCCGGCTCCCTCTGCCGGCTGTCACCTCCAGCGGGACGACACTCGCGCACTAGCGCCCTAGGCCCAAGCTCCGCCGCCGCCGGGCGTGCCCAGCCTGCGCACGCGGGCGGCAGAGGCGGTTTTAGAGGTGGCATCCACAGAAACACACAGAGCAAACGCGACAGGCCCTGGGAGACAGCGGGATAAAATGGGAGCGTCCGGTGGGCTGGGGTGCGAGGGCGATCTGCCTCCGCGGCGCCACGCTTTCCCCTTCTCCGTGTGCTTTTGGTGCAAGAATAAATACATGAAAGAAAAGGAAAGAAAAAGGCGCCCTGGTCATCCTGCGCAGAGCTGCAGGCAGGCCTCGCCCAGTCCTCCAACCCCTCGGGATAACTCCACCCCGGCTCGGCCCCGCAGTGTCCTCTGCTCCCTCCTCGGGCTTCCACTCCCAGGCCCTCTGCAAGGCCGGGAAAGCGTCAGTAGAGAGAAGGCGCTCACGTGGCCGACCACTGCGGTCTCGCCTAACCGGACCGAGCACGCCGTGAACACCGCTTCCCTAACCACAAAAAAGGGAATCAGGCAAGTGAAAAAGGGAAAACGTCAAGGTCCCTACTTGCTAGAGCGGCCTTCCATTGGCACCTCTCTCTCCACCGTGGAACCTGATTGGCTGAAGGCTGAGCGCACAGGTTGAGCACGCTCTCCGTCCCTTGACGTTGGGCGGGCACCAGCCTCGTAGCCAATAGGAGGGCCAGTAGGGCGGGGCTAGAGCTCGAGGGGCCTCCCCCGTCGAGGGCGAGTTGGTAAACAGAGCGAGCGCGTGCAGGGCGCCAGCGAGGTAGTGAGGGCGCAGAGGCCGCGAGGAGGTGACCACGGATCCCAGCTTCCTGCGGCCTGGTAAGCCTGTCACCCGCCGGCTCACTGTCGCAGGGTCCCTTGTGAAGCCTCAAGTGACAGCACGGCTTTGCGTCGCGAGTTTCTCTTGCCGCGAGCCCTGAGGCGGGGCCCACCGCGTGCCCACCTCAGCCTGCGGGCTGGCCTGGGAGGGGACGAGGCCCCGCCCGCCGCGGGCTCCGGGAAGCGCCGTTCGGTCGCCAGTGCAGCGTTCCTGCCTCGTGCTCTCGTGACAGTGGATCTTAGCTCCTAGATGGCTGTGCAGTGTGTGGCTGGGGTCCGACTCCCAGGGCTGCAGCTGTGTGTCGGACCTTTGGCTTCCTTGGCCCGAGCCAGCTGTTGGGTTTCACAGGTGGGACTTCGGGGTGAACTTGGGAAAAAGGACCCTTCTTGGTCCTTCCCTCCTGTCGCCCTTACGTGGTCCTTCCTCCTTTTCTAGACACTGGTGGTCTTGTGAGTGGTTTGGGCCAAATCCCCTAAACAGGAGCTTGTCGCTAGCTCATTCTCAGTGCACAGTCCTCTGGCACACCCAGGGGAGCTGGCCCACGTAGGGGACAGAGAATGCTGCGGGGGCGGGTCTGGTGCTGGGACCCTCCATATGGGTGAGAGAGGTCTCCTTCCTGAAGGGCAAGAGGCTTGTGTGCAACCTTCCAACTTGGGTTGGGCTTGCAACCCGTTGGAAAGTTTGTCCACACCCATTTGGGCCTTAGGGCTGCAGGGTGGATGGGTCATCTTGGTAGGCTGTTGGGAGACTTTCTTTTGGAGGAAAGCAGAAGAGACCGGGGGGTAGAGGCTGGTGGTTCACAGAAGCAGCATCCTTAAGATTTAGGCAACAGTTTTAGGTGTTGCGGGCAGTGCATACAATGCAGAATTGTTACAGTTTTTGGCCTGATCACAGGGAACTCAAAAGAAAAGTGAACTAGGTAGTCTGGGCACCTCCCTCAGAGCCAGTGCAAACTTAAGGCAGGGCCTCACAACCTCCAGACTATTGATATTTTGGGTCCATGATTCTTTGTTGTGGGGAGGCCTGTCCCATGCATTGTAGGATATGTAGCAGGATCCTTCGCTTGTATCCACTTGACAGGTAGCCCCTCTTTCCCAGCAATTATTATCAAAATTGTCTCCAGACATTGCTAAATGTCCCTTTGAGGGCAAAATTGCCCTTGGTTTAGAGCCCCAGGTCAGACTTTAAAAAGGGTCATTTCATGCTGCCAGGGTCCTCTCAGACCTTCAGGTTTGGGGAGATGCCAGTGTATTATGCACAGTGGTAGAAGCCACAAAGAAAGGGCTTTAAAGGAGACCCTACCTGTGAACTGGGTGGCAGAGGTGACACCTGTTAACAGAGAATTAAAGTAGAGACTCATCGGCATTTACTGTGCCTACTGGATGTGGGGCAGTGATAGGCTGGGCCAGGAGGGCTGAGGGATGGGATACTGGTAGTTTCCATACCTGGAGATACTGCAGGACTGTGGGGTATGCACATGAAATAACTTCATGGTTTCTTAAGAGCGAGTGAACAAATAACAGCAACTTGAATGCTGGCAGAAGCCAACTCCAGTATCCACAAGTGGCTATTCCAAGGTGGTGCTTTACTGATCCTCAGGTTTTGCTCAGGCATTTCTGTCTTGTGATGTAGGAGAGGTTGGACCTGTGCCTGAGGGAAGTGAATGGCTGCGTTTCAAATGTACATGGGAGATATATATATATATATAATGTATATATTTGCACGTGTATATATATATATGTATTTTAGTACAGCATGGGCACAGAAATAATTTGTAGAGTTCTTTTACAGTTTGTCAAAGCTTCAGTGTCAAACAGTGAGCCGTTTCTTTTTGTTGACAGAAAGATGCTTAGGCCTCAATATTTTGCCTTCAGTGTAACCCGGAATTTACACCCTGAACTTTTAGGTTCTAATCTGATGGGCATGCAGAAAAACTGGAAAACTGTGCTTATTGTATGTGGAAAACATCCCAAGCTCCTACTGTGAATTTCTGTTTTATATTTTTAATCAATCCTTTGAGAATGTATCAGAATTTTCCTGTAACACTCCTTGGTCAACTAGGAGCTTTTGGGTGCCCTTTGTTGTTGACAGAAAAGGATCAGGAAGGGAGGTCACTTCTTTCTCAAAGAGAAGTTTAGAGAAGTCTATTATTGGGAAGCTCAGAACTTGGCAGGATAATTTTTCCATCAAGAGCCATGGACACTGAGTCATTATCTTTGTCAGTTGAAACAAGAGCTGTGTGCAAAATTAGACAGCAGTATTTAGATAGAGCATTTTCTTGAGTTAACAACTGGAAATAGTTCTAGCATTCCTGTTAAACAACGGTCGAGAACTGGGGAGAGCCAGTGGCAAGGAGAGCGGTGGGAGTGGAGAGCTCAGGTGTCCTGTTTCTTCTGGAATTGCACATGCAGGAAGTGTGGGGGCCAAGGAGGCAGCTTGTGAGAAGTGAGGGTGGCTTGAGTCCAGGTGACTGGGGACAGAGGAGGAGTCTGACCTGGGGCACAGACTCATGTATGTGCAGGGAGACAGCGCTGAGATTTCTAGCTGGAGAAAGAGCTGGGTGATGGTGGCATTAATGAAAAGAGCGGGTATGGGGGAAGGAGGAGCTGGTTTGGGAGAAGAGGTGATGTTAGCGTTAGACATGAGACGTATTTTTTCCATTCTTTTAAAAATTAAATACTTTCCATGTAAACTCACCCTTTGTAATGTGCAGTTCTGCACAGTTGGACAGACGCATATAGTCGTGTAATCACGACTACAGTCAAGGTGCAGAACAGTTCCATCACCCCCCAGTGTTCCTTATGTGTCCTGTAGTTGCCTACAGGAGTTTAGTGGGGCCTTGTGGTACACATGTATGTTACTTTATTCTTAAAATGGTTTAAGTGGATGAGAGGGCCTACCTGGCCTGAGAATGGGGAGGCAGTGGCTGGAGCAACCCCGGAGACAGTGCACGTAGCAGGGAGGCCAGAGGGCCCAGGGTGTGCCTGGATTGCACACTGTGGAGCAGGTGGGGGAAGAGGGGCAGGTGAAGCAAGCTGTGGAGAGGAGGCCAAGCAGGAGGGAGAGTTCTGGGAGGGGTAGGGCTGGCAGGAAACCCTGTGGAGAGTGGTGGAGGAGTTAGGCTGAGGACACCCACTGGCTTGAGCCGTCAGATGTCATACAGGGTGGCTGGGGGAACAGGAGAGACAAGTGCACCATTTTTAGGAGTCATTGGCCATGAAGGAGAAGCAGAGTCAACAGGAGGTTCTATTTGGTGCCAGAGAGCTGGAAGTGTGTTTGTGGGTGTGAGGGGAAAGGCCTTTGTGAAAAGATAGATGAAAGCAGAAGAAAAGTAGGAGAGGCAAGTTCCTCTCGGGCAAGGTTAGGGTGGGAGGAGAGGTGGGGGAGGGTCTAAGATATGCGGCCTGGAATTTGAGCCAAGTGTGCTCACCTCTGATTGTTTCTGTTTTGGGGCGAAACAAAGAGACTGCTACAGAGGGAGTGTGGGAGGGACAGAATAAGGGATGGTGATCCAAGAGAAAGCCAGGCCAGGATTCTGTCTTTAGTGCCCTCCAGGTCCTGCCCCAGCCATCCTTGGTGGAGTGTGTGTGTGTAGAATGGTGGCAAGGACATGTTTCCCCTCTTCCTACCTCTGCATCACCCACTTGATCTTCCTAGAGTCATGTTTCTTGAATGAGGCCACAGGATTTCCATCTTTCTACTTTTGTGAAGACAGTGTCCTGCTACCTGCCTGCCTTCCTTCCTTCCTTTTTTTACGGTACTGGAGATTGAACCCAGGGCCTTGGCACTGAGCTACATCCCTAGCCTCTTTCTTCCACTTTTTAATTTTGAGACAGGTTCTCACTGTTGCTCAGGGTGGGTTACAATTTGTGATCCTCCTGCCTCAGCCTCCAAGGGTGCTGGATTAAAGGTGTATGCCACCACGCTTGGGTTTTCCCTTCTCCTTTCATGTCTAGAAGGTTCTGTGCCTAATTTCTTTGGAGCATGGTTCTTTCTAGACCCCATTACATTTCAGTTTTCGAAGTAGCTCTGTGTGTCTCCTTGTCACCTTTTGTTTTCCAGGGGCAAATCCTCTGGCAACAAGAGACATTCTAGGTCAGCTGCCTCATCTTACACACAAGGACCTAGCACCTGCAGGCCTGGAGGGGAGAGCTGGTTGCCTGAGGTCTCACATCACTGGGGACGGAGCTGGGCCTGGAACCTGGCCCTCGCTGGTGGTCTTCCCTGTTGGCCCTCACCTGTGGTGTCCAGGGATAGAAAACCTGGTACCAGCTCTGCTGTCTGCTGGGCTGGATGAGGGGGTCCTGGGGACTCTTCACATGAAAAGAGGTGTCACGTTAGAGCCTGGAACTAGGGCTCACCTCCAGTGTGTGTGCTCTGCCTCATGCATTCTGTTTGGCATTGACCCTGGCTCAGAGGAAGGTGAAGGTAGGAATAGATCGCTTGGTAAGCCACCTGTAGTTACTGTTTGACAGGTGCTTAAACAAACATTTCAGATCTTTCTGAGATTGTAAAAACTGTGGTGGCTCTGGCTCTCTAAGGTGTTTACAGCCAGCATTTGGCCCAGCAAGGGGCGGGCCCTGCGCTGCAGCCAGGTCTGCTCTGTGCCCTGCACACCCCTGCTGGAGCGCATGGGTCAGGGGTGATGGGCTCTCCCAGGCTGCCCCACTGAGGCATGGCTGCCTGGTGGCTTTTCCTCCCCTCCCTTCCTCTCCTTTAACATCTGCTGGGACAGAAAAGAGGAAGGATGGGGCTGAAGTGTCTGATTCATTAAGATGCCCGGAGACTTGCCCTGCTTGGCTCCTAGAAAACTGCTTTTTTAACAGGGGACGCTGTTGATGCCGTGCCTGTTGCTTGCATGCTGAGGTGTGCAGGGTAGGGGACAGAAAGGACATTTCTCTGTGCTTGGCACCCTGGTTGTGAGGAGTCCTAGTGGGTATCTATGGCCTGCTTATTTCTAAGGGGCTCCAAACAGGCGGCCAGCGTACTGGACCGCCTG